GAAGACTCTTGAGAGTCCCTTGGACTGCAAGGAGATCCAACCAGTCCATCCTAAAGGAGATCAGTCCTGGGTGTTCATTAAAAGGACTGATGCTGAGGCTGAAACTCCAATACTTTGGCCACCTCATGCGAAGAGTTGACTCATTGGAAAAGACCCTGATGCTGGGAGGGATTAGGGGCAGGAGGAGAAGGGGATGAAAGAGGATGAGATGGCTGGATGGCATCACTGACTCGATGGACATGAGTTTGAGTAAACTCCGGGAGTTGGTGATGGACAGGGAGGCCTGGCGTGCTGCAGTTCATGAGATTGCAAAGAGTCGGACATGACTGAGCAACTGAACTGATTGCACTTGCAATGTAACATTTTCCAGTATCATTAAAATGATCTGGAAATGTTTTAAAATGTATGCCTAAGGTTCCTTCAGATAACTGTAACATAATCATGTGATCATACTTCAGATTTTGAAACTAGGAGTTTCATTTTCATCTTTAGACTATTAAAAATAACCAATTCCATATTCCATGATAAGTTTTGAATTATGAATAGTTTGCTAAGGGGCTTATTTATACTTTCTGAATTCTGAAATGAAAAATTTCCTAAAGATTTTATAATTATTAACTTTATTTTAAACCAATTTTATTACAGGAAGAAATTGAATTATTATCCTAGATACTATAGAGTAATTCTAACTTCATGTAGTAGTTTACACATTCATATCTTTTAAAGGTAAGTAGACTTCACCTTTTTAAGAGTACTTTTCTTTTTGTGAAAGTAATAGATTTACTAATTATTACAATAAGTAATAATAATAATACCAATTTGGAGCCCTTAGTAAGTATCAGGCATTATGCTAAGTGATTTACAGGCAAATACATATTTAAACACTCAATGAAGCAAAGGTATTGTTGTCCCTAGTTTTATTAAACAAAATTTAGAACTATCCCTAAGTCATTCATTAAATGAGAGAGCTTGCAATTAAACCCAATTCTGTCTTGATTCCAAAGGTCATTCTTCTAATAATTTATATAAAGTAGTAAAGCTGCCTGATTTATAAAATTTGTAGGTTGAGCATCTGCCGTTTATTTTCCTCCTTGTGGGAAATTTTGACTTCGTTCTTAAACAGAAACAGAGGTGGTTCAGAATGGTTCCTTCCAAGCAGTGGCTGAGATGGGGAGAAAGATTGGCGAGCCACAGCGTAGCCAAGGAAACCCTCCCGACCCCTTCCTGTGGCCCAGGATAGGTCAGCTGAAACCCTTGAAACCTTCCTGTAGGAACAGTCCAGTTACTATAAACCAAAGACGAGGTGGATGTCCGGATATTACAGTAAGCTTTTTCCTTTGTGGGTAGTGTGGAGAGTGCATTTTCTAGTTCTCATGGGTCCCTCTGCTGCAGCGGCCTGTTTAGTCCCATCTCTCCTCTCAGAACAAAGCAAATGCTGAATAAAGGAGAGTTTGAGGGACTTGAGGATAAAGTCAGAAGTGGAGCATCTAGGACCTTCATTCTAACTATTGTGAAGCGTTGCCTTTGTTGGTCTCCCTGCTTTATCCTTTACTCTTTTCATTAATGCACTTAAAAGTTCTGGGGGTTTTATTTATATGTATATATATGTATAACAAATATATATTTATATATTATAATGTTTATATATTTTTCACGTATTTATTGTCTGTTATGCCTAGCATTTAGAGGGTATACCTGATACTGAACACTCAGTATTTGAAGAATGAATAATGTTAACTGTATCTTTCACTTATTGTGCCTTGTATTTAGAATAGAGATCATCTTTACAACAAACTTTGAAAACCTGGGATTATGATCCTTAAAACTCATGTAGGGAATAAGTCTCAGAGAGGTTCTGTCACTTGCTCAGAGTCATATAACTGGTGAGTACCGGAGCTGAAATTCAAACCCAAGGCTGCCTGGCTCTAAGTGAGGGAACTTTTGATTAGGCCAGTGTAACTTGAACCCATAAAATATGTAAAAAATTAAAGGATCCAGAAGCATGGAAACTAGATAATCTGAGAACCCTCTGGCCTCAAAACCCCTAGAATGCTAAGCAAAATGTCGCCAACATATTTGAAATGTGTAACTGAGCATGCACAAAACTAAAGGAAATGCTCAGAGGTCAAAAATGAAAAGGGAGCTGGACTCTGGAACTGTGTAAAGGTTTGAGTTACCACTGACCTGGGGGCATTCAGCAATCTTAGTAACAAGGAGGGTTGTATCTTGTGGCTATGGGAGACAAAAGGTGTTTATATGATATGGGGATTTGGAACTGAGATCTCTGGGAAGGGAAAAAAAAAAAAGATCTTGAAGGGCTACTCTCAGTAAAAGAATGAATTAAAAAAATTCATCTTCTGGTAAATAAAGACTGTGAGGAAATTTTTTTCTGTCCTGGCCTGGGTTCTAGATTGGGGGAAAAAATCCTCCTCTG